GAAACTCCGACAAAACAGTTTGTCACAGCCCCTCATTTGTTGTCCTCTTCTCCCTCTCTGCCTACGGTTTACCGGGCAGTTCTATTTGACGATATATATATATATATATATATATATATATGTATATTGTCACATAACTTTGAACTAAAAGACCGCAATTTGCGAAACAAACGCGTCAAACAGGGCTGCGCGGTAAACCGTCGGCGGAGAGGGAGAAGAGGACAACAAACGACGGGCTGTGATAAACTGTTTCGTCGGAGTTTCACCGACTCATCAGGAGGCTGAACCCTAACGTCTGCAGAATCCCCTAACTGATTACACTCTAAGTGATAATCCACCTTAACCCGGTTGTGGTTAAGCATCGAGGTGGGCACCAACCACGGCCCTCGAACTGATACCCTGAGGTGGGCACCAACCACGGCCCTCGAGGTACCTGTGACGAAAATCAAAGCAGACTATCACTCGCCCACACCAGATGGAAAACTGTACAGACTGTCAACTCACAACCCATCACAAGCCAGCAAAACACCCACGAAACTAAGAAAGGTCTATCACAACCAAAAAATACACTCCGGACATGCCGCTGGCACTAGTGACGGCCCCGGCCACAAACGCTCAACCTGACCGGAGAAAACCACTGCAGGGTGCTATCGAAGTCGTGTGATGTAAAGCAAAAGGCAACATGTGTGTGTGTCTGTGTGCTGCCATGTCTGCGATGCAAAACTCTGTGTCTAATATAAATCATAGCATACCATGCCATGGCGCTCCGCTCAGATATCTGCTATACCAGATTCAGACATTACCACTGCAACCTTACCTGTTCCTATAAGCGAAAGGTATCCGGAATTGGACTTAAGTAGATTCTCATACTCACATAGCGGACTGCGTACCGACTACGCACACAGAGAATACGGGAGTAGTGACAGACCGTTTCGCCGGACTTGCACCGACTCATCAGGAGACCGAACCCCCGACCGTCTGCCGAGTCCCCTCACAATGCTTTGTGTCATAACATGCTTCAGAGTTCAGACCCTGTTCCGAGTGGGCAAACACAGCAAAGCATGCAGCGCAGGATGGACAACGCGAGTCATAGCAAGGCATAGCTGTCAGGAAGGCAGGCAGGCAGGCAGGCAGCTGGGCATGCACATGGCAACCCAGAAAGGCAAGCACAAAATGCACTAAGCAGCTGGGCTACGAGCCGGGGCACCTGGGTCACCTAGTTTGCCAGGGCGGGCCGGCCGTGCAAGGACCAGGGAGGTCCCAGCAAATAAAAAATATTATCCGAAAAGTTGCAAAAACAAACTATGTTATGAAGAAAAATAAACTGGACAACTTTTACCTCAGGGGCCTGGACCCACTAGCGAAGTATTCTACGATGTGTAAGGGTTTGTGCTGATTGGCGAGAGCGAGGTGTGCGAGAATTCGTCATGTCTGTGTGGTGTTGTGTGTGGTGTGTGTTGAGTTGGACACTACAGCCTTGCAGGGGTGGG